AGCTGTAACTTTACTGTATTCTTTTCTCTTTTTCTTCTTTTTTCTTTCTTTTATGAGGCTCTTAGTGACTCTTGGAAGATAAGTGTGTTTGTCTTCCTCCTGTAAATTTTCTACTGATAATTTAATGAGAGTGTTATTGATCAAAAAAAAAAAAGGAACCCAGGAGTAGCTCCAATAGGTGATAAAATGAGAGAAAGTAGATTAAGATGGTTTGGTCACATGCTTGGGTCACCTACAATACCTGTAAGAAGTGATTTGTTACAAGTTGATGGGGCTATAAGGGCTAGGGGCAGAGCAAAAAGGATATGGTTGAAGTAGTAAGATTAAGTGCCCGTAATTTAACAGTGGGCATGGTATTAAACAGAATGGAATGACAAAACAGGATTTGTGTAGCTGTCTCATATAGTTGGAATAAGGCTCAGGGGCTGTTGATAACAGCTGAAGTGACTGAACTGAAAAGCTTATTGCTTTGTCTTTTAGTGAACATGTTTTTAAGGAGGTTGTGGGGTTCTTTATGGATGAAGCTGAAGTTGAGTGGATTACTGTACTCTTTAATATTTTAGCATTTAATTATTTTATCCACTAAAAGTTGAAGAAATAAATAGTTCAGTCCAGCAACTTCTGCTGTTATTAAACAACCCATTAGATGATGATGAGGAAGAGATACAAACGCAGAAAAATAAATAAAATTACAGAAAAAATTGGGCATATCACTGATATTATATACGAAAAATAAGTGTGATCAATGAGAGTTATTGTATTATTGATGAAAATAGTTAAAAATACAAAAAAAATGCAGAAAAAGAGAATTAATGTCTAACCTGTGACCCATTGACTGGGTTAAACGGTTCAGCAGTTAAACTGGCCAGGTAACTAGGTCATCGACTCAATCTTTTTTTTTTTTTGGGTTGCAAGTAAATGGTTTGGGGGCTAAACAGACCTGGAAACCTGGCTGGGTGATGGGTCTGACCTGCCAGTTCAACCATGGATTTAAAACATTGGTTCCAACCCAGACTCTATTAGGTTCTCCAAATAATGGAACATGACTGACCCTATATTGATTAAGCTCCAAATATTAAATCTCTAAAATATCCTAATATTTGCTATTGCATTTTGAGAAAGCAGATAAAGGATTACTAAGCCAATAAATAAATAATGTCAAACATATAAGCAATGAAAGATGCCAATGATGAGAAACATCCTCAGAATACTAAAATATGCATCCAAGGGGCTAGAACACACAAAGGAATACCAAAATCAGCATTAATAGAAGATTGAAATGTGAAACAAACTAAAAATAAAAAGAAAGAGAAATAAAGAATATTCAAGAGCTATAGGTCATCTTTCCTTGCTATTGGAATGATGAAAGAACCTTATAGACATGGATTTGTAGCTCTTTGGATATGGTTCACAAGTTCGGGGGGGGTGGACAATCCAGCCATTAAATACTTATGATCAAAGTGTGAGGCTTGAGCTCTTACCACTGTAACACCATGATTGGTGTCTGTGCTCTGCTGTCACACTGACATGCTGTTCTAACCAACTCCCAGCTCCAGGTCAAACATATTCCAGAAGACAGAAAAATTGCTGTCATGAAGCAAATATTGCAGTCTCCTTAGCGTAGGGCTTTGCAATCTCTTTCTCTAGACCAAATTCTGACCCTATTGTAATTGGGATTCAAAGTGCAGACCCATAGCAGGACCAACAACCAATTAATAACACCGACTGAAGTATGGGACCTGATCCTATTTAATAGGGTTGAGTTGATTTGGTTCTGTTGGGTTGACCCAGAGGCATGGACCACTGACAGTTCTAATTCTCTTGCAAAAAACCACAATTAGGAAGATATCAAGAACAATTTGCATGTAATTAAACATGGGAAAAATGTTGGGATTGGGAACTGGAAGATTGTAAACACTCTGAATCCATAACTTGCCATGTATCTCATAGTAAAGAGGATTGGGAAAAATATGATTCAGTCTCACCATGGAGATTCTTGTACTGAAAATTTTGTTTGAAGTATGATCTGTACTGTGTTCACATGTTTAGATTTTAGATTTGGATGGGGAAAAATAGAACTCAATAGACAGATAAATCCACAGCAGCCACTAAGAATTATAATGATGGTTAATCTGTGAGATAATTTATGAATTATGAATTTATGATTCAAAGTCCAAGGGGTCAGGCTACCAACCCCAAATACTCAAGCCTCCTGTGGCCATGCATGCAACTTGGATTTTTTTTTTTGATCAATAACACCAGCTTCATTAAATTAAAAGAAAAGAGGGAATATGGATACAAGAGGGGAGATAAAATATCTTAGCTCCCCAAAAACAGAAAACAAAGGGAGTGCAAAGAGAAAAGATTAAAAACTAGTCCGAAATACAGACTCCCTATTCACTCCTTGCTTGGCCAACCCATCTGCAAATGAGTTGGCACTCCTCTTCACCCAGCTGTACTGAATCTCAATGTCTCTACCCAGCCATAAGAACTGTTTTTTTTTCATTGTTAAAGTTCCACAAACCACTGTCCTCTGTCTTCAACCAACTAACCACCACCTTCGAATCACCTTCCAGGATCAAACGGCTGATATTTAATTCCTTTGCTCTTCGAATTCCTTCAAGCGCTGCAAAGATCTCAGCCCTAAGAGAGTCACCTTCTCCAATAGGGCCAGAGAATAAAGCAATAACAATCCCTTCCTCATTCCTGAAAACTCCTCAATCCCAGAGGGCCCTGGATTCCTTATATTGCTGCCATCAAAATTCAGCTTTATAAAGCCCAAGGGGGGAGGGGACCAAAACGGACAAAGAGTCCTCTTGCATCTAGCAATGGAAGCAATCTCTTTCCAGTTTCTTAGCAAGTCATCCATAGGAAAATCTGAAAACAACTCCAAAGATTTTAGCCAGTGGACAACCCTTAAAAGGATTCGATCTAACAATTCTTCCAATGTTCTTTCCTTGTTGGAAAAAATGCGTGAGTTTCTTTCTTCCCACAATGACCAGCATACCGCTGCCCTAATACACCTCCACATAGTTTTCCCTCGCAACTTGGCTTCTCCATCTTGCCATTGAACTCGAGCCTTACTAGATGGCACACTCAGTTGAGTCAGTTCCAATTTTGCTCTTTTTGTGTTTTTTAATGATTAGTTCCAACTTTGCTCTTCATCATTTGTAATCTTCTATCTTATTTCAACGATTGAAGTCTTGGACAATGCAGAGCTCTCTTGGGCTGTTCTATATTTTTCTGTGTGTTGGTCTGTGGAGTCGTGAGATTTCCATTAGGAATAATTATTATATTCAAAGTATTTTCTTTTTATATATCAAAAGGAAAACAAGGATGTCCATAACATTTCCTGATTATAGATGAGTTTGTCCTTCTAGAATGTGTATATAGAAGGTTCCCATAGTATCATCTCATCCATGCTTATGAACCACAAATTCATCAATCTAGATCCTAATCTCTGTTTCAGGCTTGGAAGGAGTACATGGAACTTAGAGGGTTAGTGGAACATCATATTGCAAATGTTGTTGTAATTGGGAGCTAGGAAATCAGATGTAGGATTATATATACTAATATTTGTGATTTCATGATTTTGCAATTTTTATATTTGATTCATGAAGTTAAATCATTAGACCCGTTTTTATTCAATAATGCTCTAGAAGGAAATGTTGGTTTGAGCACATACTCACCAAGGTACACTTACTGTTTCCTGGACCATTCCCTTTTATTTTGTATTAAATATTTTAGTCCTATTGTTTGAGTAGTATATATGCATAGTTTATATATGTAAATATGAATTGTATATTTTAGAATTTGGATTGTGAAATTTGATTATTTGTTGAGTATTTAGTAATTGTTCTTTTATGTTATTTGTTTTAGTTATATTTTATTATTAGAAAAAAATCCTGGCAAGAATAGAACCTATGACCATTGGTTGCTAATAGAACAGAACTTTTGCAACATGGTTCCATGAACCCTAGTAAATCATTCATCATGGAATCTGAATTTTAATTTTAATATGTTTTATTATTAGAAAAAAAAGCCTTGTTTTGATCCGTCTCTATGATGTTTGTTTTACCTGGATAATAAAGCAGCCTGGAAATGGAACCATAAAAAGAAGAGAAGGGTCTTCTACATTTTGGAGCTGTTACGAAGTCTTTCTCCAGGGTACCCCTAAGTTAGCCTACCTCTGGAGGCAAGAGATGATGATATTAGGGTAAAATAGGGTCTGGAGACTGAAGTTATTTAGTTTATGGGCCATTGCTTGGTATAAGGGTAGAATCTCAGGCTGACAAGTGTGAGAATGTGGGTTCATGTCTGAGAGCAGCCACTGTGTTAAAAATGCCAAGGATTAGGCTTGTAACCAGCCCACCCCTCCCAAGATCCTAGATAGCTGGGACCAACATTGGGTAATGGATTTTTAGATTGAAGCTATTTTGTTTCCAAAATGTTAGGTTCTTTTGGGTTATAATTGTAATTTAGGGAAGTTTTTTTGTTGCAATGGTAAAGACCCAGTCTAACAAGCATAAGAATGCAGGGGAGTTTGAGAGTGGGGGGCGGGGGTATAAATGTATTATGGAAGTAGTTGGGACAAGGCTTAGATGATGATGATGATGATGATGAATTCCTTTTTCCATCCTGGTGACTTGGAAAGAAAGAAGCAATTGAATTTTAATTTTGAAGGTAAAAGGCTGCTGAATTTGTGTTATTACAATTCTATTCTCATAGGTCTATAATCTATATTGTTTCTTTGTGATCTGTTTTCAGTGTGTCAAATGTTTTAGGTACTACGGTTATCATTAGGAGTAAGACATTGGTTCATTGAGGTTAACAGCCTCCTAAGAATCTCAGAATGGTTGAGGATGGCTTCTGTTAGTAATTCATTGATGACTTCCTGAACAAGGAACTCTATTTTGTTTATTATTTTCCCCTATGAATTATGGTTCTGTAACATGTCAGAGACCTAGCATTTTTGCTTTACAAAACATATGTATTTGCAGGTGATTGACATGCTACTCTTCAAAGGGATGGAGGAGCTTGGCAACATTGTTGAACATGCAAAGCAGCGCCACCATATAATTGGTCAGTATGTGCTAGGGCGTAGAGGGCTTATACAAGATGTGGGAGACAAGGACCAGGACATATCCGACTTCTTAAAAAAGTTTTACAACAGCAACTATTTCTGAAAACTCCCCCATTTTGATTGATGAATCTGTATTTTCTTTTAGGACCTTACTTTGGTTGTTAGACTTGAGCAATAAGTTAATCATGAAACAACTATTGTTCATTTCTATCATGAAACTGCTTTTGTTCATTTGCATCTTTGATTGCAGAAATATGAAACCGTTTTTTATTTCAAGTCCCAGTTCTGTAGGCATATTATTTATTGATATGGGAATCTATATCATTCGACTAAAGTGGCATGTGGTTCTCACGACAGAGCTTCCTAGTAGATGCAACTTGTAAGCTCTCACACGAGTGCTGATTTGGTGGACAATTAATAGAAGCTAAGTTGTAGATTGAGTCGTACCTTTCATTCCATCTTTTCAGTTTTCTTTTAATATACAAAAATACCGGCGCTGCAAAAGCACTCGTCATCGTAGAAGCCCTGTTCCAACTAACTACAGTATTTCAGAAGCACTGTAAGGAGGTAAATCTTGGATAGTGGACCTTTAATTAAAAACTGCAATTTAGGCCAAATTTGAAAGGAGCACAAATGCAAAGATGTAAATTTGACGTTTCTGATACACTTTGCGTTTCCGATAATTTGAACATTGGTTATAATTAAAATTTGACGTTTTTACACTAACATCATTAATTAAAGGAAGGGTAAAATAAAGAAGCCTCTCCTAAAGTTTGACAATCATAAAAACCTCCCTTATAGTTTCATTTTAATAAATATCTCCCTTGAATTTCTTAGAAACTCGATAAAGACCTCCCTTTTGTCACCGTCCTTAGACGGAAAACGTTGGACTGATGCACCAGTTTTTTCCAAATATCCATTCTACCCTTTTATAAATTATTTTATATACAAAATTACTGAAATAATCCCATTTTAACTTGGCAAAAATACATGAATTATTGAGATGATCGTTAAATGAGGTTTTTGTTGCATTAAAATGGGATTATTTCTATAATCTTGTGTGTAAAATAATTTATAAAAGGGTAGAATTGGTATTTAGAAAAAAACTGATGCATCAGTCTAACGTTTTCTGTCTAGGATGACGACAGAAGGGAGGTTTTTGTTGAGTTTCTCAAAAGTTCAGTGGAGGTATTTGTTAAAATGAATCTATAAGAGAGGTTTTTATGATTGTCAGAAACTTTAAAAACTTTAGGGGAGGTTTTTATGATTGTCAGAAACTTTAGGATGATGACGGAATGGAGGTTTTTGTTGAGTTTCTCAAAAGTTAAAGGGAGGTATTTGTTAAAATAAAACTACAAGGGAAGTTTTTATGAATGTCAGAAATTTTAGGGGAGGTTTTTGTATTTTACCCTTTAAGGAATTAATGAGAGAATTTGAATTAGGCGCTAAAATTCAAATTTAAATTTAAATTTGCATTGAAGTAATTGGCTAATTAATGAAAGAGAAATTAGACTTAAATAAACGACATTAATGAGATTCAGTATTAAATATGGATTAATGAATAACGATGCAGATCTGAACTGTATCGGACTGTTTTTGGCCCGTATCGGTCGATATAGATCCGAAATAGCCTGATACAGGCTCGTATCGGCCGATACGTACAAAAAGAAACAGAACAAATGATTTATACTCATTCTGCGTATCGGGTTCTTATCGGAACAATATGTATCGACCGATACGGATCGATACGTTGTGATATTTTGAACCTTGGCTGCAAGTTCATGAGGTATTATATTATCACATTATATTGAGATGTTTGGACACTACAAAAGTCAAAAGAGCTTGTAATCAATAGAATCTCCTCGATCTCCATCCATCTTCTTGTCTTAGTAAATGTTTGGTTCCATTGGAGTTTACAAAGAGGCCATTTAGTACTTCAAATGTTTATTTGTACCATCTTATTTTAAATGTTTTTCACTTTAAACTTTCTTGCTTTTTTTGTTTGGTTGTGCATCACTTTAAACGTTTATTACTTTCTACCTCAGATTAACACCCATAAAAACATGCCATATAAGAAATGCTGGGGTGTAAAGGAAAAGAAAAATTTGACATTTCCTCAAATATCCCATGCACAAAAACCAAGCATTTCAGTTTCCTAGTATTTGATAAATGGTGAAACCAAACCGTGGTTTCATATGCATTAAATATAAGGGGTTTTTATAGTTCAATCCACCCCTAGGGTGGAACTAGGATTTCTAGGAGTGGATTGAATCCTACCTGTGGATTGATGCTAAATTCACAGGTAGGATGTGGTTTATAGGGGGGGGGGGGGGCTACTAATAGTCTAGGAGAGGCTACAATTCAGATTTCTGAGGTGGAGTCTAGTCCACTTATCCCTAAATATAAATACCCATGTGGCACTGGTGTGATGACATTTTTTTAATAAGTGGATTAAATGCCAAGGGAACCAAACATCCTCTTAGTCTTCATGGTAATAATGTTGTGCTACTAAGGTTGCGGAATTAGTATGAATGTATGCTTTTTGCAGACCAAAAGCTTGAGCCCACTATTGCTTGCAGCTTCATCATTAGTTGCACAAGAACCATCAACACATATCATAAAGGCATAATTTTCTCTAATGTGAGCCATTTGACTGCAAATGACAGTATTTTCGTGGCCTGATCATGTACATCTTTCTCACCATGCAATAGGTAAGTACGTAGCCACTAGCCAATAGACCTGTTCATGGGCTGGGCTTTAAGTCCGACTTTACACTGTGTCAGGCTCAGGCTTTGGGCTAGGCCCATTCAAAATTTGGCAAAAGTCAAGTCATAAGCCCGACCCATGAATAAGTCTAGTAACCAGCTGGTTTATGTGATGCATTTAATTTTTGCTAAGCTCAGAATTATTCCACTCAAGGTTCAAAATATTGAGTATTACGTATCATATATGTAGGCTTAGATAATGAATGTTATTTTAATACACCTTGGATACAGATAAATACATATTATGATACTCTTAGATGCATTCAAGTGGGTTTTTGATAAAAAAAGTCATATGCTTTATTGGAATTCGTATTACAGCCAAAAGTCTATTTGGTAATAAGGTAAATTTGTCAGTGCAAAACTAATCCAACTTTGCAATTTATATAGACAGTTTTACGCTTTACGTATTTGCATTCACACTTATTTGCATTGTTTCCAAATGCAGCCTTAATGATTTATATAAAAAAAAATATTAGAATCAACAATACCAGGATCTAGAACATGTAAATATCATGCAATAAATTTACTAATAACACATCAAATGATGTTTGAGCTTCTAATCTACCAACTATTCAGTACAAGAATAGTTGTAGATTCTAATACACATTGTAGGCTCAAACTACAACTTGCCTCTTTCTGAGAGACATTTAGGGGGACCATTATTTTTTTCAAGCTCAAAGGTTAAAGACTGGAATGTTGTAGTTGATAAGATATGGTCTAAATTAAGCGGATGGAAAGCCAAAGTCCTTTCTCAGGAGGCAATTCCCCTTGTAGACATTCTTATTGCCTAAAACGGTGTGCCATTCTATCAGCAATCTTTGCTGAGATTTCTGGTGGGGGAGTGTCGATGGCAAGAACAAAGTCTATGTTCGAGCTTGGGAGAGTCTCACACTTATTTTCCCACTGCCCAATGGTACAATCAGTTTTGTTTCGTTCACGTCTCAACTTCAGAACTGACGACACTTTGTGAGAAATATGCACCATGGTCTATCAGCATTCTTGTGGCTGAATGTAGACATCTATTGCTTCACTTTCAGAATATCTCGGTAACCCATGTCTACAGATCAACAAACAGAGCTGCACATCGACTAGCAAAATTTTCTCTCTTGCTCTGGAATTCATACATGGTCATGTATCCCTTCTTTTCTTTTGAATATCCTTGTACAAGAGACTGTTACCGAGATCTATGAATTTGATAAATCATTTATAGATTTATCTTATAGGTCTTCCTTATCAAGAAAATCATTTAAAATATATAAATAAATTATTTTATTAATTATTAAAGTTTCTTAAAAAATTTAGAAAATTTCATTTTTGACATAAATTATTGTTAGATCAATGAATTTAGGGTCCATTTGGTTTACACTCGCAATTGGAATTAGAATGGTCCATTCCCATAGTCTGTTTGGTTGAGACAGAAATGGGAATGATAATTGCAATCAACAAGAATGGGATTTCATTCCCATTTCCCGAGGGGTGGGGAATGGACATTCCCTCAAATGGGGGAATGCCAATGCCATTCCAGCAGGAATGGGAATAGGACTCCGATTCTGCCCAACCACACAGTTGTAATTGGAATAATCCATTATGATTCCAATTCTATCTTTATAGTTAATATATAAAAAATTATATGTTTTTGACATATCAATTTAATAGTTACTCTTTTTGTCATAACAAAAAGTGAATTTCAGAAACTTTAGGCATGCTTTAATTAGGTCCTAAAATGTTAGGGGTACTTTAAATAATTGTCAGATAATTTAAGAATGCTTTAAGTAATTAACACTATAATGAATTATCTCGTTGTCAGTATAATATCAACCACAAATATTTGCTTTGAACAAACCTTGCTGACTTGGAACAATTATTTCATAAGTGACATTACATAAACCAATTGTCCTAAATTATATTGAGATTAAATTCTTTGAGCACTTTTGCAATTATTTGTGTTCACTTTAGCACTTTCCACGGATACAATCTCACAAGTGTCATTCTAAACAGATAAGGCACATAACCAGATTTATATGCAATATTTCTGGGCCAGGAAAGGCTAGTCGTGCCTAGGGCTTTCTTTGTCTGGGCCCAGCCCACATTCTGTGCAGGCTTGATGTGGGCCCAGACTGGGGTGGGGCTGGGCCTGGAAATTTGTGGGCTGGGCTGGGCAGGATCATAAATTATCATCCATATATCCAGCCATAGAGTGAGCACTACACCTGTTCATGGCTGGGATTGGGCTTAGCTTTTGTCAAGATTTAAATGGGCCCAGCCCAAAGCCCAAGCCCAAAAAGCATAAAGCTGAGCCCAAGCCTGGCCCACAAAAAGGTCTAGTGAGCACTAAGAGGTAAGAGCTAAACATGTTTCAATATTATAGAAATAGAGCCAAGTGGGATGGGTGCATCCAATGGGCTGTGCAGCCATCCTACACCAATGATACCATGGGAAAAATTCCACAATACAATTATGAGACCAGTATTTCTATAAGGCTATGTTTGGTTCGAAGGAAAAAGTAGGGAA